AAAGAGACAGAGATAATAAGTGGGGTGCTCTAACCTGGCTCCTGGCTAGACTGGGGAGCAGGAGGGGGAAGTTTGGGCCGGGGGTCTTTGGTGGTTGAAATCCCCGAGCTCCTGGCTAGACTGGGGGGCAGGAGGGTGAAGTCTGGACAGAGGGCCTGCAGTGGTCGAAATCCCATTTATTGATTTTTAGGAGCTTTTTGTATATGAGTGATATGAATTTCTTTAATTGCCAGAGGACATGTATAATTATGTATACACACACATACACAGAACCCTTCACTGGGCCATGGTCACAGTGTAATTTCTTCCCATCTCTCCATCCTGTCAGGATTTTGGGCAAGCACAAACATGCATCTGGCCTGTTATTCAAGCCACTGGGGCTGGGACTCAGACTGTGATTGACCACTTGGGATCAGGTTCCCTTAACCTCTAGGCTATTGGGCTAGCCCTGAGTGATAGTAATTTTGAAGTGGACATTGCAAAAGTGCTATAGGGCATGCACACGAGAGAGACAGAGAGAGAGAGAGAGAGAAAGAGAGAAAGAGAGAGAGAGAGAGAGAGGGAGAGAAAGAGAGGGAAAGTGAGAAATCACCCGCTGGGCTGGATGGCCACACTACAGTCTCCTCTCCTTTATTTTGGGGAACATGCAAATGCATGCCTGGCATGATTTTTAAGCCGCTAAATCCAGGACCCGAACCGTGGAGTCTGCCATGTGAATCCAGTGCCTTAAGCTCCATGCCACCTGCTGGCCGATTTGTTTTGTTTTGATTTCTTTTGTTCTTTGTTTTTGGCTAGATGGCAATTTTCCTCAACCTCGTTATCTGTCTCATCCCACTTTAATGTACATTCTTTGAGGGAAGGTATTTATCCCATTCCCGCTATATCCCCAGTCTCTGGAACAGTGCCTGGTATTCAACAGATGCTCAATAACTGCTTGCTGAATGAATGAATGTTTTTTTTTTCACTTAATATCTTAGAGATGGTTGCATATCAGTTCATGTAGAGCTTCCTTATTGTTTTTTATAATTGTAAATAGTATTCCCTTTGTGGGATAGTATCATAATTTAGTCGCCTATTGGGTCATCAGAAAAAAAATTGTGATGTGGTTTTCTATGCAAAAAATGTATCATGACTTTTCCAACAACCCAATATTTTCCTGATAAGGTTGTTTCTTTTATTTACTGTTATAAATAGTACTGTAGTACAACATCTTCATGGTTTTTTGCTCACATACATGAGTATTTATGTAGAATAATTTCTAGATATGGAATCGCTACCCCGAGGATGTGTAAATGTTAAATTTTGATGGATATTGCTGAATTAATTGTCCTTGGAATATATTGTACCAGTATACATCTACGAAGAATTTGAGTGTGGCTGTTTCTTGATATCTTCACCAACTTATAGTGACTTAGCAGATAATGAGCTCTAGTAATATGTAAGGAGAATATAGTGTCTTATTTTAGCATGTAATTATCTTCATGTGAATGAAGTTGAGTAGCTTTTTACATGTTTAAAAGTCGTTTGCATTTTCTATTTTGTGAACTAATGGTCATGTTCTTTGACTATGTTTTCAGAAAGTTAAACTGGGGTCAGCAGATGGCGTAGCAGTTACATCACTGGATTCCTACATAGTCAACCACAGTTTGAGTCCCAGATCTGGTGGCTTAAAACAACACTGGGAGCGTGTGCTCAAAATCCAGAGAGAGGAATGGAAGAGAAGGGACTGCTGTGTGGCCATCCCCCCTTGGGGGGAGGGTGATTTCTCGCTTTCTGTCTCTCTCTGGTAAGTGCACATGGCCTATAGCAAAAATCTCTCTCTCTGAAAAAAGTTAAGTTGTTGATCTTTTTCTTCTTACTTTGTAGGAACTCTCTCTACATATTGAGGGATTAGCTTTTTGTTTATCATAAGTGTTATGAATGTATCTTTTCCCTACTCACATCTTTGAGCTCGTTCTTGATATATTTTGACCATGCATTGCATAGTCAGATATATCAGTATTTCCCTTTGTGGCATCTGGGTTTTGTAGTATGCCTAGAAGAGTCATTTTCATATAAAATTATTTTTAAGGAACTCCAGTTTATGATTTCTCTTTTTCTTTGTTTAAAGTTTTGTTTTCTCAAATTAATTTTTGTGTATAGGGTAAGGTAGGAAGTGTAACATTACATTTTTCTCTTTTTTCATATTTTATTGATTCATGAAAGATCTTTAAATATTTTCAATAGTAAGTACAGTTGATATAAACATATCTATGAACACATGTCTGACTTTAGAAATAAGACTCAGTGAGTAGAATGAATATACTATAAAGTAGCACCTATCTGAGGCTATATAGCTTACTGTGGTAAGTAGGTATGTTTTTATTTATGTATTGTTTGTTTGCTTTTTATGTATTTTTTTAATTTCAAGAAAAGGAGTCTTTGCTTTAATAAATCAAAATTTAAAATGTTAAGAAAAATTTGCTTAAGACTTAAAGTCAGGAAAAGGGTTAGGATTCTGTTCAAAAGGTAGGTAGGTAGATAATAAATAGTCAAAAAACAGATATGGACAAAGC